ATCATAGATGGGAGGACCAGCACTGAAGTGGAAGGAAATTTTTTTTTAATTTAAAAAAAAATTTATTCTTAGAGGATGCTTATTTATGGTCTCAAACATATTTTGGAATTTTTTTATTAAATTTATCTTTTAAACTTCATTAAATGATACAATTTTGTACAAATAATTGAATGTTATGCTACTATTTACATAAATAAAATCTGAAATCCAATAAAAGTTCTCCATAATTTTTTCAAATGTGATTTTCCCTTCACGATAAGACAAAATGGCCATGGAAGGTAACGGGTTAAAGAAATGAGTATAGGCTATGGAAGCCCAATTACAGGCTGACACTCGGGTAAAATGTTTCTCTTGTAAAGAACTGTTAACGTGTGCAATGGTTTACCAGATATGGTGTGTTCCAACAGTTTTTTATTAGATAATTTTATGGATGTGTTTGGTTTGGGATTCTGTTTTGATGGGTGCCATTGCAAATGGGCCTGCAAACACCTGTAAGAACCATTTTACAAGTGCTCTTTGTAGTCCCCATCAATAAATGACATGGTTCAACAGCTGGTCAATTAACTCACCTACCAGTATTATTCATTCCAACAAGCATCATGAAAATTAATTAACTAAAATTAAGACTAAATCAACTAATGTTATGTAAAGAAATGTTTCTAATTATTACAGTTTTTAATTATTCCAAGAATCCAAGCAATTAAAATATTACCATCATGATTTCTTCATACTATTTTCAATTAAACTGATTAATCCCACCTCACAAAAATAATCAACTAATTGAAATGAGTTTTTCCAATTATTACTGTTTTAGTTTATTCCATCTATCTAAGTATCATGTGAAAATAACTGGGAGTTTGCCCCCGAAGAAGAAAGGTTCACCTTTTGAAAGCTCTCGGGTTATAGAGTTTTTATTCATTTCTATCAAGACTTCTTGAACCTACGTGTTTTTCTAATATCATGATTAGTTGCATATAATTGATTAATGAGCCCAGTGACTAATCAGTAGCCAATTCCACTAATCACCCAGCATTGCATATAATGCCTACTATTTTTGCGTGTCACAAGAAAGAATGAGAATAATAAAATATTATCACATTTGTTGAAATCAAAGTTGTGTTAAATTGTGCTACAGATTTTTGTTTCATTGTACATATAACCTTCAGTGGCCCCACTGCTAAGAGCACACACACAATGCATTTATTTGTCTCTTGATTGCTCTCGATCGGCTCATTGATCTGACACTCGTCAACCATGTTTTTGCTTATAGTACCTTATAAATATTTCTTTGAACTTACTCTGAGAGAGTGTGATGATAGTATATTAACATACGTATTAACTGACACTTCTGAAAGGTATCTGAAAACCTAGTTGTCTCATGTTGCTAAACTACCATCTGTTATATATGTGTGTGATACTCTGCATTACAATGTTTTATTAAAAATATGTTTTCTGTAATTTTGCTTGCTACATAATTTTAAAACTGTAGTTGTAAACTAAACCCTAATCTGTGGACTGTTTTACCAAAATAAAATATTAAAATACTCAATGAATTTTTAGGTCACAAACAAAGAAATATGCATTTCTAATAACATATTTAATTTCAAATTTTTTCATACTATTTCACTATAAAACTAAAATGTATCTTGCTTCATAAAATGTGTTTCACCTCTAATTCTCTTTTTACTGAAAAAAAAGTTTAAAACTACTGAAATTACTATTATTAACGACTTAACAGTTTATTTTGTAATTTCATCATAAGGAAAACTAGTATGTAATCAAATTTCTTATGCCAAACATATTTACCATATCAAAGACTTTTTTTTATAGTTGCACTAATAACCTGAAGATTAAAATAGAAACATAACACTGTGATTGGCACTAACACATTAATTAAATATATACTAACAATAAATATAATTTATTATTAGTACAGTAGCTTGATTTTTCTTCTGACTTTTAGGATACTTTATGTTGAAGATGTAAACCAGGGATATAGTCCACATCTTAGGTATGGCTTGTGTAGACCTAAATACTTAGTAAATTACACCCTGTTATAAAACATACATTTATTAGGACACCTAAATATTCAGAAGTATATCACTGGGATAAGAAAACACCCAAATGAACATTTATAAACCATGTCCTAATATGTACGATCCTCATCCAATCAGAGTCACTGATTTTCATATTACCAGAGCCATAGCTTTACAAGAGAAAATTACAACATTTGTGTCACTTTGCAAATTAATATCACATGGAAGTTTTACACAAGGTTTTGAAAATGAAATTTCTGGTGTAGAACAGTTTAAAGAAAATCATGACTAGAGGTACTTCTTTTCATAATATTCTACTACTAGTGAACAAAAATCTCAAGGTTTAAAATGACCAGAACAAATTTGTGTATTTTGGGCAACTTAAGTTGTTTTTACACTTTCTCTTAATACAGAAATTATAAATTAGCAGAAAATCTTACCCAATAAAGATTAATACTAGCATGATTATCATTAGATGGGAAATTTTTAGCTCTAAAACCATCATCCCATTTTAATCATTTTACAAACTAAATAAAAGCTGATAATGGAGAAATAGCTTGCTAAAAGAAAGTTGCTTTCAAAATCTTTCACACACTACTCAATACTAGCTACAATGGTTCCTAACAAAACTTTAAAGACTGTCTTTTGGTGAGCCAAGACTGTGTGACAAAAAATGGCAAGTGGTCCATTAATTTTTAACAAACATCATACTCAAGTTATTTTCCCATTATAAGTTTTGGTAACATAACTTCTGACCAACAAAGGATCATTTGGTTCTTCAAAATTGTTCTTGTACACCCACCCTTGGGAAAAGTACAAATTTACACCAATCTTTTCCTTATCAGAAAATCACAGATTCCCCTCTTAAATTCCTTTAAAGTGCTGGCCTCTACTACTGCTGATGTAAACTCATTCCAGAAGTCAAATACCCTGTTAAAAAATAAAATAAACTTAACTGGTACCTAGCCTTAACCTTTAACAAACCTCACCAAAAACAAGTGTAGTTGAAGTGTAGTTTGTAAGTAATTTTTTTTTTTAAAAGAGAGATTATTTAAATATTGTATTTTGCTTCAGAAGTTTAGTTCAGGCCACAGTTTTTACACAACTTACACTGAATCTATATGGGTTATAATAAAGGATTTCAAAGGTAGAAAGTTTTTAATTGCAATTGCTATAGGCCCCCTCATCAGACAGATGATGTGTAAACTGTAATGAAATCAAGGCTGTTATTCATAAAAATACTTATACAATACTTATGAGAAGAAACTGTTTAGTGTTTTGTAAAGTTATTAAATTAACCCATAAATTTTTTGTAGATTTATTTTACTAGTTTTAGCTTTTAATTATGCATTAAAAAAACAAAAAATCAAATCACCTGTCAGATATTATATTCATTATATCATTATAATATAAATTCTGTCATTAATCAATTCGTTACAGCCGTAAAAAATGGGTGATGTTACATTAGGACTAGATTTAATAATTTGGTTATTCCTACGTCGTTCTGCGCCCAAACATTAGGCTTAAAATGTATAAGTAATACATAGACGAATTTGTCAGAGTGAGATACAGACAGTAAAATCCCTTCGAAATCGACAATGATAAAAGAATTACAAGTTACATGACTGTACAACAAAAGCGTGTAAAAATGTCTGTACCACAACCACAATAGCAGCAGTACTAACTCTATAAATTATAATGGACATATATGATAAATTGGTATAGTGATATAGTCTAGAGATTAGGGAGAACGTAAACTCGAGAAAATGGCAAATTAATACCTACCTTGCAATTTTCTTCTGTCTGCCATATCTACGATTACGAATAAACATGTATAGGTGTCTGAAGCATAGTATTCTGTAATTAAAATAACAATTTTAAAGTGATTTTAACACGCGCAATAACATTCTAACCAACTCTGGTTTAACCAGCTTCAAAATGGCCACTAATCCATCTCCTAGCTTACACAAAATTTTCAACTATAAACTAATCCCAAGTGTCCCAGCTGTTACAACTAGTACTCCTACTCTATAGTTTTAAAGGCTCTAACAGGGAATTATTTACTCTTTACTGCCTAACATGGAAAATAACGTTAAACCATAAAATGGATTTCTTCATTATTATAGTTCTCTTTTGTTAGAACATAATAACTATATAATTACAAATAGTGTAAGAAAATATACATAATAAATGGTGTGGAACTTTTATATGACGAGATTTAATATACAGTCTCTTCAAGCAGTTTTTTCATCCGCACTAAACGTTTCTATTTACAAAATAATAATAGCAAAAGTCTTTCCTAATTGTGGCATTTCGTATACTAAAAATACTCGAATTGGTTTTATAAGATATTAAATATTTCTTTTCATCATAAATTGCCCGAACAAGAACGTAAATGACTCAAGGCAGAATAATGAAAGTATGTTCAAAATACAAATTTCAAAGTATGCTGTAATGTAATCCTTATATTTTCATCTCCTAGTATGCTCTGCCATATGTATGATTAAAAATAATATACGGTAAAAAAGTGATTATTAACTAAATTGTAACAAGTACACCAAAGAAGGGTAGATATTGTCTCGAACTGTTCAAGGCCTCAAGCCCATAATATAAGTTTTTTAAAAATCCCCAGATTCGAATATGAGCACACTCATAAGAATGAAATGTATTACATATAATCAACGTAATCAAAAAATAATTGATTAGAAGGAGGAGGTAAATACTACGTATGCGTAATATATTTCGAAATGCATCATTATTTACAAGTGTACACTTTTCTACTTTCGGCGTGTCTTTCCTTGTGTTGGAAAATCTAATGTGAGAGTTTTATGAAAAACGTGAAAGTAATAACGTATTAACAATCACAATACTTTAACATTTTTAGCCATGGTATAAGATTATTATATATATATATATATATAAAACTATAGCTATTGTAGCGCCCTCTTGTGGTTTCTTTCTTTTATACTTTGGTTACGTTTATCACAAGTTTTATACTTAGCAAAAATAATGGAAGATGATTATTCTATAGAAACACTTTTGGGTTTGTATTTTATTTTTCATTATAATACTAATCGTTTAATTGCCAGTGAAAATAGTGGAGAACATTTTAGGATTAGTAAGATTAATAACTGAAAACAACTTAAACTTAAGTGAGGATACCCAAAAATTAACTGGTGACATTTAATATTAAAATTATAGTACTGTGACAGTGGCAATGGTATTGGTAGATACTTACTAACTGTCACAGTTTAATGGCTTCTCACGTTTTAATTCTTTTATTTCGGTTCTATCTGATTGGAGTGCTTGTATCCCGTGCAGTTTTAGAAAATTGAACATATGACTGATTTCATGGTCTTTCATTTTCAAGTATTTGCATTCAAAGTTCTACCTCTAAGTTCTAGTTTAGTCTAGCATTTAAACCCATGAGTCTTACTTTTAATGGCTTTATTTAGCATTTTAAGTTATCTAAATGTTTATAGCCCATTTTAATCCAAATGGGCAATAATCTTATAACATATATTTTTCAAGATAAAATAAGTTGAGACCTTAACCTATCCCTGTTATGGTTAGATAACCCTTCCATGCCTGGTATCATCCTAGTGTCCCTCTTCTGAACCCTTTCTGATAAATCAATATCCTTTCAAAGATAATGAAACCAAAACTGTATAAAGTATTCAAAATGAGGTGTAACTAGTGATTTTTATAGAGAAACACCCTTATTGAAGATTCATGCTGCCTTCATAGTTGCACCAAATTCATGAAAATTAACAAAAAAGGTTGGGAGATTATAATCTATTGTTTTTTTTTTGTAATTTTGTTTATAGATGCAACATTATTATTAACCAATTAAGAAGGAAATGCAAATACAACATAAAACTTAGAAAGGTAACCTATGTATTTTATTCATGTACTGTAAGTATAATCGCAAATTGAATTGATAAGTTTTCAAAGCCCCCTCCCCTTTCTTTTTATTTACATCTGTTTATTTTTATGAAGGCTTGTAATTTAAAGATTGTGTCAGGCATTAAATGATGAGTTTGATGGGTATGTGTGTGTGGTATATTTATTTACGGAAGGCATAACTGCAGTCAATGTTTTAGTTTGTTTAAATCCTGAGGCTAAGGATTATTGTGGTGGCTGTTATTAGAATAGCTTCTGACCAGTTTTCCTTGGCATTGGCTGTGTAAAATCTGCTGGTTGACCCTGCATCTGACATACTCTATGGGTATTTTTATCACAGCAACATTACTTTTTAAATGACATTTGTCTGTACGGTGGCAACCTCGTCGTTCACATTTTTCTATATTTAGATACCTTGAGCTTTTACATTCTCTTGAACAATTTAAAACTTGGTATCAGTGATTTCAATTGAAAAACTCAAACTTCCTCTGTGTCCTTATCAAGACTCCTTGTCAGAGCTTCAGCACATTGGCTGTCCAAAATATCTTATGCATATTTACTGTAATATTTTTCTTTAAACTTTTGATAATTATGCTTGGTTCTGATTTTGTAGTGTTTTTCTACAGTTATACACACATTTGTGATTATTTTTATCTAAAGCTCTTAAAATTTAGTTTCCTATTCCAAACCCTCATGCCAGTGATGAAATATCTCCAGAATACTTTAAATTTCCATACGTCTTCTCAGTAAATTTTAATACCATTTATAACAATACATGTTTATTCAGTTATTTTGGAATTATTAGATAACTTATTGATGTAACGAAACAGAACTTATTGGTTTATTAAGAAAATAAAAATGGCCTAGAGTCAGCATATTTATTTCAATATTCAGTATAACAGTTTGCTCAAGTTGTACTTTTTTACAGCTTAAAAATATGGTAATTTTTTTATTGCAGTTCCACTTATTCAAATTTTAAAGTCTGATCTACAAATATGAAGAATTTTATTAAGAGTCATATATACAAAAACTGTAATTTTTTTGTAAAAATGAAAGGTAAAATCTTTATTATTAGTTACAACTCACTAGTTTTGGTTACACAGCTACTACCACTACTGTTGGTGCTAGCCCTGATAATGATAACTGTGTTACTGTCAGCTGTAACTAATAATAATGATTTTACTTTTATCTTTGTTTTTTTTATTCTTACTATTGTAGCACAATGTGCCTGAAAAGAAATTATAAGACGAATTTTATTTACTAAGACATGGTGAAATCTGTATGGTCAAGTTACTGACCACATCATTCTTTAGTTTCTTTAAATTAAATGTTTTTTTTTCAGAATTATCACATTGTAGCTGTTTATTGCTTGCATTGCTAAGTATTCTAAGAAGTTTCACAAGATATTTGTTGATTAAACTTTAAATCTTAACCAGATGTAAACCACATCTGCCCACTTCTTTCAAGTTGTATGTTTGTGTAAGTCAATTTAAGAAGTGACTATAGGCACTTCATTTGTTGTTTATAAAAAATCGTCCAAAACTTAACACACACAAATATAACAACTGTGAAGGAGGATAATTCATAATTGGACATAAATATTCATCTGTTTTTGTAAGTAATGCTCTTGTTCTCTACGTTAAATACTTTTCATTTAATTGCAAACTTTTGTCCCTCTTACTGGAACCTTCTTTGGGCAACAATGCACTGAAAAATATTTAACATAGAGAATAAGCCATGTATATTTCTTTATTTATGTTACGAGTTTTAAAAACAAGTACTGCTCTTATTATTCTAAATAATTAGAAATGATTAACCTGCAAATACAAATGTTTTTCTTTTGTCCCTCTTACTGGAACCTTCTTTGGGCAACAATGCACTGAAAAGTATTTAACATAGAGAATAAGCCATGTATATATAGCTTACACCAATAATTTGGTTATTAATTTTTCTTTATGCTTGTTTTTGATAATACTATTTTAGCTAAAGCCACCAATCCTTTGAACTCTCAACCTAATGAGGAATCTGTAAAAGAATTTTGTGACCAAGTTAACAAGGAGGAAGATGGACATCAGACAGCATTGCGGTTTCTTGTTCACAAAATACAGTCGCCCCAGGAAAGAGAAGCTCTGCTTTCACTTACGGTAGAGTTACTTTTCACAGATTTTAACTATTTACATAATCTATTGTGTACTTATACTTTTATATAAAGTAGAAAGTTCTTTTAACATATATGATAAATAAACTGATTCATTAGTATAATTAATAATAAGCTGAGAAAGTCATTTAACTCGTTAGTTTCTGAATAGAAAAAAATCTAAGTTAAATGAAAAGAAAATAATTAAATTTTTATATCTGTGAATTTTCTTCATCTTGGAAATGTTCAGCTTGATATTATCCATTTCTTTAAGTAAGAAATTATATGTTTCATTTCTTTGTAACTGGACAAAAAGTTGGCTTGTTTCTTGTTAATTGGCAGTATTTACATAAGGCAAGATTGTTCTTCAGGAACCTGTCTAAAGCCTATTAATAATTAATTATTCATGTAAATAATACATATAGTAACTATACATTATATTCTCTGTCCATATATGGCTTTAAAATTGTAGACATGTTAGTGTTAAAGCAGAAACAAATATCTGAAAAAGAATACTTTTTAATGAATTTAAAATAGAAATTTGGTTTGTTGAGGATTTTAAAATTTTCACTTGAACAATGGATGATGGTCAGGCAGATTATCTTAAATACCTAGATGATGTAGAAACACAGCCCCAATGTCAGATATGAGACCACCTGTAAGTCAGCTCAAACCATCTGTAATCTGCCTGTATTGACTAAATACGAAGTAATAGTGGTTTGAAGTATGTCCTTGGCAGTATGATCAAACCTCACATAATTCCCTGAACCTTTGGAAGAGGTCAGATTGTGAAATATTTATGTTGAAAAGACAAAAACACTCCATTGTTGGCAGGAGCTCAGCACAAAGTATCGTAATTTGGCAAAACTTGCTAAATTCTAATTTGGCATTCCAGGAACTGTCAGAAAGGATATTATCCAATATAAAAATATTGTAACAACTAGTTTAGACCCAGTAAAATCCAATCAACTGATTTTTTATGTTCATGCTTCAAGATACAGATACTGATGAACTTACAGTGGGTAACTTAGATGTTAAACAGGAACTGTAGGAGTCCACAAATATTGATGCCATTGATACTTTATCACCATTTCCAGCCATCTTGGACACTGAGTAGGGCCAGACTAACAACAAAATGTTATTACAGTTGAAACTCTTAGAGAAATGATTGTCATATGTATCTGCTATCTGAGGACCTGATTGAGGTGTTTTTTGTTTCGTTTCTGGCAGTTATTTAGATTTAAACTTAATTATTGTTGGGGAAATATTTAATAAGCAAGGGTGCTCGAAGATAAGCAATCCTCCTTCACCCTGCTTGAGGCATAAGGTTAAAGTTCAATTAGTGGTCAACAATTTAATGAGCCATATGGGTGAAGAAGTAGGAAAATAAAAAATAATAAGTAACTAAGGAAAAAATATATATATGTATACCCGCATATATATGTATGATGAGGAGGAGGCAAGTAGGCGGGAGTGAAGGCAAGTCCAAGGCGTAGCAGAGGCCGGTTGATCTTGTAGAAGGAGCAAATCTGTAGCTGTTGTTGACAAATTATCAAAACAAAATGAAGCAAACAGGCCTTTACAGAGCCTGGCGGGGATCGGTGGATCCAAGTGCCATGGCTGGGATCTATAGATCCAATGCCTAAGAGTTTAATGTGGGGGGGGAGGGAGGAATGGGAGTACCCAAGTGTTTAAGAATGCTAAGAGAATTTGTAGTGTTGATGCATCATCTTTTTTTGTACTTAATGGTGAGAATAGTAGGATGAGGGGACACAAATAAATTCTGGCAGGATAGGAATCATCTTCAGCTAAGACAGGGTAGTTGTCTTATAGGACAGGTTGCCTTCAGATGTGGTAGATACATTTGATTTAAGGGAGTTTAAGGAAAGACTTGATAAATATTTGAATGATAAGGGCTGGCTTTGAGTGTTTTATTATTATTTTCGAGTTTAGTTTATTGGAACAGACAGCCTAGATGGACCAACATGTCCATTGCTATCCTTAATTGTATGTACTTATGTTTTTTTATTTTGTGATTTATGCATGTAATTATTTACTTTTGAGGAGGTGTCTCTGCTGTTATATTAAATGTTTTTTTTGTTATCACTATGATTTGTTACAGTCATGATGGTCTGTACAGTGATTGAAATTGGATAATTTTCTCCCAGAGTTCACTACTCTTCCCCAACACTTTGAGGTGTAAAACAACTTAGATCACTTGTGTGATATAATAAATATCAGAACTTTTCATTGTAAATAAACAGGCTAACAATGCTAGATATATTATAGACAGCCTAGATGGACCAACATGTTCATTGTTATCTTAATAAAGAGGCTAACAATGCTAGATATATTATAGACAGCCTAGATGGACCAACATGTTCGTTGTTATCTTAATAAAGAGGCTAACAATGACTAGATATATTACAGACAGCCTAGATGGACCAACATGTTCATTGTTATCTTAATAAAGAGGCTAACAATGCTAGATATACTATAGACAGCCTAGATGGACCAACATGTTCATTGTTATCTTAATAAAGAGGCTAACAATGCTAGATATATTATAGACAGCCTAGATGGACCAACATGTTCGTTATCTTAATAAAGAGGCTAACAATGCTAAATATAATTACAGGCTAACAATGCTAGATATAATTACAGGCTAACAATGCTAGATATAATTACAGGCTAACAATGCTAGATGTAATTACAGGCTAACAATGCAAGATATAATTACAGGCTAACTATGCTAGATGTAATTACAGGCTAACAATGCTAGACATGATTACAGGCTAACAATGCTAGATATAATTACAGGCTAACAATACTAGATATAATTACAGGCTAACAATGCTAGATATAATTACAGGCTAACAATGCTAGATATAATTGGTAAGTGCTTCCAATGAAAATGAACTGAAGAGGCAAGTTGAAAAGAAATTATTAATTATAGCT